CCCTGGGTACGAAAGCGCTGCTGTGGCCATAGACCACGGCGTTCCCTCCGCTTTCCCAGCCTCTGCCCAGTCCGCCCCTGGAGAGAGCGAGTTGCGTGCAGGAAGCGAGGGGGATGTTTCTCGGCGGTCTGAGGGGCCGTGGTGCGCGTCCGTGGGCTCTGTGGGTCTGAGGCAGGAGTAGGCAGCAGTTTTGTTTTGCTAGGCTCACGCCCGATGTGGAGTTGGTGCTGAGGTCTGGGGCAGTGATACTGTGATGCCCAGCCTTCTGACTTAACTGGCTTTGTCAGCTGGTCAGGAAAACGGTAGCTTTGTTGCAAGGGCTTAGAAGTAAAGCTGGGGAGAAGGCCACTGGGTTTAAGGCCATGGAATTGTTATTTTGGGGTGACTGTTGTGTACTTCTAAAAGTAAATAGTGTTGTAAAGAATATATAAGATCCAAAGACTGTTGCCCCATGCAACACTATTAGCTGTTTTTTAACCGAAGAGCATCTGTCAGAAAATAGTTGTAGATTCTTCTCTACTGGGTTAGTAGAGTTCTCTATTGTGTTACCTGCTGTTCATGTGGTGATGTCAACAACTACTGCTGTTGTTGAGTAATAATTAGGTGCTGTAGTACTTCTCTGTCTTATGAAATTCCTAATCCAGTTCCAAATGTTGGGGGCTTTTTTCACTTAATATCTGGAGCTTGCAGGAGCTAACCGAGCCAGCGCAAAAATCTTGTGTAGGTGCTACCTAGTTAGGAGAATAACAGCCACTGCAGAATGGGTCAGTGAATGGACAAACAACTTCCAGGACAGGAAAACAGAACCTGTAGAGAGCTCACAGGGAAAGCATCTGTGTAATGACTCTCGAAGGCTGGGCGGTTGAGTGATGTTCAGTGCCAAAAGTTATTAATATAGCTTCCAGTTTCTTGACATTGCTTGTGTGACATCCAGAACAGTCATGCAGAGAGTTTTAGCAGAACAGTCATGCAGAGAGTTTTAGCTTTGTATCTAAGCAGGCAGCTTCAGATTTCTAATGTATTTTCTTTTTGTCCATTGGAAGGAAAATACTAATAAAAAAATAAATCATGCTGTTGATAAGCGGATATTCTAAAGAAGTTAATAGCTTTTTAATTCTGCTTGTTAGTTCCTGAATGGGATTTAAAGTATGTTTTGCTCATAGTAACAAACAAAATTTATAAACGCAAACCAAGTTTTGTCAGGTTTGATTCCAAGTTTTGTCTCAGTAGACTGTGTTGAGCCTATGTAAAGTGGCACTGTGCACAGAAACTGATGAGTGCCCTTGTTCTTTTTATGGTGGTAGTAAAATAAAATTTACAGGAGTGTTTTCAGAAATGATTACTTTATTGCTTACATATAAAACCAGAACTGGAACAAATGAGGGGAAAAGCTTGCATGCTCATGGATTTGTCATGTAGATGCCAGTGCAGAAAGTTTGATCCGAGTTTTTGACTTGCTTTTCAAAGTCTTGGCAGTTTCCAAGAAAAGGAGTAAACACTGATTTAAAGCAATTAACAGACAAACAATGTTTTAGTTTCCAAGAAGTGGTGTTTTTTGTGAACTAAATAGTTCTATGTCATCTAACAGTACTGAAATCTGAAGTTGCTACTCAGTTCAATTTATGTTTCAGTTTACAGTTTTTCATTTAATTATGTCTGAGTGTATTTAAATGTTCTTTTCTTTATTTTAGGAAGTTCAGAAGCATTCTGTGCACACACTTGTGTTCAGATCTTTGAAGAGAACCCATGATATGTTTGTAGCCGATAATGCCAAGCCTATCCCATTAGATGAAGAAAGGTAAGTGCTGTAGTCAGTGAAGTTTTAAACTATGTTAGTGATTGCTTCATCCAAGTCAGAAGTTCAGATGTTTCTGTAGAGTTAACTGTGTAGTCTTGAGGGAAGAAAAATTTTAGAATTGTAAAGTAAGTTATATAAAATCTTTGGTAAAATATTTAAAAACTTAGTAGTTCAAAAATCAGGGTTTAATTGCTTTACTCTTCCAACAGTCACAAAGTAAAGATGGCAGTCAAGCTGCGTACAGAGTATGGCTCGGTGTTACACATGCCTACTCTTAAAGAAAACTTGAGGGAGAAAGGAGGCCCAAACACGGGGGATCCTTATGGACACAAACAGTATTCTGGAAATCAAGGTTAGTTTGCTCTTAATGTTATGTTTGTCCTTTGTTTTGTAACAGTCTCATTGATACAAAATCTGAAGAATGCAATCCAGTGTTAATCCACTGGAGATAAATATGGAAATCAAAATACATTTTTTTGATAGTTTAGTTTTTTTTTTTCTTGCTAGGTTCCACAGAAGGTGATTCAGACAAGGAGGAAGTTTGTTTTAACGGAGGACTAATAGGGTGCTCTGAAATTTTTATAGTAATTCATTAGTAAAAAGTAATTTTTATGGTGTCATTAGTGTGTGCTGTATTTAGGTGATAGAAAAAGATGAGTAATATATTTCTCTGTTTTACAAATTCATGATGTTCAAGGACATGTTCTATTGTTATTTAGGTTTTTTTAATTTTGTTTCATAGAATTTTTTTTTACTTTCTTTAGCTGTGCATCTATTAAACCAGAAAACTTACTTTAAATCTGCAGGGTTTTTTCAGTCTGTGTATGATTATATATAAAGCATGTATGCATTAAGTAGTTTCTGTATGGAAACTTCTAAAGAGTGCCAAATGCTGCCTTATTTCAGTTGAGATTTTTTTCCCAAGGTAATTTATTTGGAAGTATTCTGAAAGTGAAAGATGTTGAGAGATAATGAAAACTCTCTTAAGAAGAACCTTTTTCTTTTCTGATACTACAGACAATGCGTTGTTTTGACTAGCTTACATTTCAGATACCCGTGCTATTTCTGTACCTGAATTCTTTTGCATAAAATCTGCTTCAAAAGGCATCTTTGACAGTATAAAGATTTTTCCCTTGAGAGTCCTTCTTGGTAACAGGTAGCCTCACCATTTTAAAAATGTTTTTTTACTATTGTTCTAGAAAACTGAGATAACCAGAACAAATTAAATGAATGAAAATAAGCAATGTCTAAGTGTGGTACACTAGAAGTGATTGCTGGCTTTTCCTCCATTTTCCTGTATTTCCTGAGTGCATCATTTGCAGTGCAGTATAAAATGTCATTATTAATATGACATTTAATTGCTCTTTAGGACAAGAACTTGAGTATTTGATAACTGGTACACATCCATACCCACCTGGGCCTGGTAAGTAAAATTCTGTAAGTGTTTGCCTGGGGTTTTTGCCTTCCTGTAAGAACTAGGCATCCTTCATCCTAGCAGGAGCAGGCTGCTTCTTGCTGTGAATCCGTAGCTGATAGTAGTGGGACGTGCCATTCATGTCTTTCATAATATTGATGCAGAGAATTTTGTGGCTGATAAATGTTCTGGGATGGGAGGTAGGAGGAGGGTATAGGTACAGATGAGTGTCTTCTCACTAAACGTCAGTGGATGTTAGCTTGCTGTGAGATGGTCATCCGTTTCTATGAGATTTCACTTCCTGTGGTAACATCATCATAGAAATGTTCTAGGAATCTCCGCTTTGATATTGTGGTCTCCTTTCTCTTGGAGAGCCTGGAGGCCCACGGATCCCTGGTGCCTCTACTGTTGTGGCAGAGCTGCTCTTACATTTTACTGTGAACAGGGAGGGAGGTTCCAGCTAGAAGGAAGTTGAATGACAAGAGGGATGTATGCTGCTTTTCATCACCAGAGCAGAAAGGTATAGGTATCACCACCTTGCTCTGAGAGACATTAGGGTCTAATAATTTTAGTGTCACTTGATTTTGTCTGCGTTTGGAAGGGTTACGTTTCTTTGTTTTTACATTGGCCATTGCTAATTGTCACTGTTATCGATCCATCCTGCTCTGTCCTTGTGGTAGTTCTGTTTTAACTGTTGATCTTTTACTGTTAGTGCTTATGTTTATGACAGATATGGTGGAAAATCTGTTGTGCCTTGATTTGTAAGTCAACAGATGTGCGTGTTCAGCCATTGAAAAAAACATGCATAGTTGCCTGTAACTGTGGGGTCAAGACTTGCCTACAGAGGTTTTCTCAAGTTCAGTGTTCTTCTAATAGATTCAGGTGTGTCAGGGTTAACAATTAGGTTTCTTTTGTTGCTTCTTGTTTTAACCTGGACATCTAACCCAAATGTTCTTTTTGTTGTCAACTGTCAGAACTTTGGTTAGGAAAAGAAATGGAGGAACAGGATAGGTGTACCAGTCTGCACCAAAACTACACTTTGTAAAGAGTTTTAAAAGTAAAAAAAAGTGATCTGTTCTTAGGCTGAAGTTATAAATCATAAGTTGTAGTCTGAAAATCTCACTTCAGTGGGACTAAACCTTTTGTAGTTCTGACACCACTGCAAATGCCAACCACCACACAGGGATGGCATAAAAAACTGCACTAAAGGGCCTAAGTTAGCAAATACTTCTCAAGATCATGTTTCTTTCTGTGATGTTTGGTTTTCCATAGTAGTTGAATCTGGATAAAAAGATGGATGCTGCTCCTAGTTAGACTTTGTTTCCGATGTCAGCATCATACTGTTTCTGCTCTAGAAATTGTGTACCTACATATATAGTAGAATCAAGATGGAAAGGTTTGGGGCCAAAATAAAAATTTTAGAATATGTGACTTGCATGTGAAAAATAATGTAATTGAATGAATGGTGTTTTGGGTTTTTTTTAAGGTGTGGCTCTGACAGCAGATACTAAGGTCCAGAGGATGCCTAGTGAATCTGCAGCGCAGTCCTTAGCCGTAGCGCTTCCTGCCTCTCAGTCCAGGTACTGTTGTGTTACTTTATGAGCATTTTTGTTATCTATGGGAATTTCAAGGCAAAACACAGCAGTTGGGATAACAGATACTTTGAGTATTTTGAATGTTCTAATTTATAAAATGTTTAAAGAAACTACTTTTAGTGGCCAGGCATCATTTTTGTCTTACTTTTTTTTTTTGCCTTGCATGTCATGGACCAGGGGAAATTCTGTTTAGATATAAGAGAAAAAAGTGAGGCTTTGTTTGTGGGTGTGTTTTACCTTGAGGTGGTCAGGCACTGGAACAGGTTGCCCAGGGAGGTTGTAGAGTCTCCATTCTCGGAGCTGCACTCCACTTGATTGAATGCAGTCCTTATTGCTTACTTAGTAAAAGAAGTTGATTCCAATTCATCAACCATTTTCATTCAACCTAGGTTGGATGCAAATCGAACAGCTGCTGGCGTGGGTGATATTTACAGGCATGCTGGAATATCTGAGCGTTCGCAGCCTCCTGGGATGTCAGTGGTGAGTTTGTGGCACATCTAATGTGAAAATCATGTAGCATTCACCGGATTGCTTCTGGATTCATTTGTGTGTTGTGTAGAGATCTCCCAACTGACTAAATTTAATCAGTGTTGAGATGTCAGAGCGAGAAGGTTTTAGGTTTTGGGCAAAGATGTAAGTTATAAAGCATAAGAATAACCTTCCTTTTAACTTACAGGCCATGGTGGAAGCTGGCGGAAACAAAAATTCTGCATTAATGGCGAAGAAGGCTCCGACCATGCCCAAACCTCAGTGGCATCCACCTTGGAAACTATACAGAGTAAGTTACAAGTGTATGACATGGACATGCATATAAAAGTTAATGAATATTTTATGTTCTGTAAAGACTTCAAAGCATAATTGTTCTTCTCATTCACAAAAATTAAATAAAATGAAAAGTGATCAAAACTAAGTTGCATATGCACACTCCTTAAATAACAAAGAGGTTGTTTTACAACATTTTTCATTCTATTTAGTAAATTATTTTGTGAATATTATTAATTTTACCCTTTTGTTTATGCAGCTGTAGCTGTATTGTGATAAATCCATTAAAGACTTTGTTTTTTCAAGTCAGATTCTTTGGTACTCAAAAACAAGGGGCAAAATTTGAAACTAGTAACATGTTAAAGAAATACTCTGTCAATATTAACATAATGAAATTGTCTCAAAAATAACTAAAGGCAGTCCATGTCTGAGTCAGCCAGTCTTCTTTTATTTGCTATGAAAACAGGGGAAATAAGCTGCATACTTTAATCTCAAACTACCTCTACAATTTAGATTGCTTGACTTCTAGTCTTGTTTTTGTCTTAGTCTAATTTGCCTTTTAATTTTCTTTAATAGCCATTCCCCCAAAATGTCATATCATCTTTAAACATTTTGGTGATGAGTATGGCAGGGTAGTGGGAGTCGAAGAGAAAATCTCTAAGCATATATATTGGTTCAGACCTTTTTTACTTTTCAGGTGCATCTGTTTGAACGTCTACTTTTTTTTTTCCTTCTAAGGGGCTGATTCTTACTATGAAATTTAAGCAGTTTCATATTTTGTCTGAGAAAGGGTGATTCTTGCTTTAAGAATGTTAGGCTTTGTTGATACTTAAAAATCTCATGCTCTTGATTCAGAATTGTCTTGTTTAGCATAGTTCATCTAAATATAGTATCATATGTAGGCATTTAGATCCTCAGAAGAGTCCTGAATGCTGTATTAGTCATAAATCTTAAGTCTAATCTCAAAAAGTAATATTTTGAAGAACACCTGTGCTCAAAGGAATATATAGGTTTTCTAAATAGAGCAGTATTGCAACATGTTCTCTCTAAAATTAAGGCAAATGCCATTTGAAAAAATGGCACCAAAATAAACCCGTGAGCGTTTTAAGGTAAACAAATGACAAATGCTTACTTGTTAGAGGCACTTTCTTTTCAGAGAGAGACTGTAAATACAATTCAAGTCACTGTACTAATTCTACCTGTAAACAATTTCAGTGGAGGTTTGCTGTCAAAATCTGTGCTCAACAGGACAAAAGCTTGTTCAAGCAACTCAAAAAACAGAAGCACAGCTGGAACACCACATGTGGGTTTCATCTTATCTGTTGCTTAATATCTGCATTTTAACTGGTCTTCCTAAGCTTGGTGTGAAGTAATTTGTGAAAGATGGGGGCTTAAAATAGATCACATTAATTACTACTTAGATTTCTCCTCTGGAAATGCCCATTTGTATTCATAGACTCTGAAGAAATCTGGACAGCTATCTCAGATCTATGTGGCTGGGGTCTCATCTGGTCTCATCTGGTCAGAAGAATCCACTTAAGCTTTCCAAAGTATTTCTGCCGAAGAACTTTTGTTGTGCTTTAAACCTTTTGAAATTTGCTGTATGACAGTATGTGAAACAGGACATCCAGTGAAACGAAATATGTGTTTTGATTTTAGCTGTCTGACTTTGGAGAAAAGGCTGCTGTAAGCAAGCCATGTATAAGTAGAGCTTTTCTTCTGAGATCTGTCTGCAGTATTTTGTTACCAGAAAGTTTTTCAACATATTCATATTGCCCCTTATTTGGGGAAAAGGAGGTGGTGGTGTGCTTTAAGAGGTTATTATATGGCTGTGTGATTTAACAGCCAAGATTTTACACAAAAATAAAGAACAGTTATATAAGCTCTATAGAGTATCATAAGGAACTGGTGCTTAAATACCATCTTTCTCTGCAAAGCCTCAAGTGTTGAGCCACAGTGTTAGAGCCTCTCAAAGGATTTGAAAAAGTTGCCTATAGGAACTAGGGTCTTATTGTAGGTTCTCCAAGTCTAGTGTATGACATGCAAATTTCTGGCAGTCTTGTCATTTAATGAAAGTAGAAATCAAACTCTCTTCAGATCTAATTTCACATTTGGCTTTTTGGGGACCATGCATTTCTTGGTGAATGCTAACAAATTCCAGTGTTGGAGAATTGAAATTATATTGACTGGTGCATGTGTATTATTTCTGATTTAGAAAAAATTTTGTTTTTCCTAAAGGTCATCAGTGGTCACCTGGGCTGGGTGAGATGCATTGCAGTAGAACCAGGAAATCAGTGGTTTGTTACTGGCTCTGCTGACAGAACCATAAAGGTAAGAGGTTGGAAGAAGTCGCTGATAAAGTTTGCAGGGAATGGCTTTTTTTGTTCTCTGATTATTTAAAAATGTCTTCAGCCCTTGGAAACAGTTTCTCGCTTACTGCTTGCAGAGAAATGAACTGCAGAACATTTTATTACCTAGTCATAAAGGATTTGTGGAGTATTACTACTTCTTGAGATTTCATTTATTACATAGTAGTAGCTGGAGAGCAAATGTTTGTTATTTTAACTTCAAGTGAAGCAGGATCAGTTACATCTGGGCTGTTTACCCAGACTATCACTGTGTAGCTTTTACCTGTCTACCTCAGAATACCTATTTTGATACAGATTTGGGACCTTGCTAGTGGCAAATTGAAATTGTCTTTGACGGGACACATCAGTACTGTACGAGGGGTGATAGTAAGTGCAAGAAGTCCATACCTCTTTTCTTGTGGAGAAGACAAACAAGTGAAATGCTGGGATCTTGAATACAATAAGGTAAGCTGTAGTTTAATTGGAATTAATTGGTGATGGCAAATACAAAAATGAAAGCATTTAGAATATTCTTTCAGATATCTAGTTTGTGTGTGGTTTTTTAATTCATCTAGGTTATCAGACATTACCACGGTCATCTAAGTGCTGTCTATGGTTTAGACTTGCATCCAACAATAGATGTACTGGTAACATGTAGCAGAGATTCAACAGCACGAGTAAGTATAGCATTGTCATGTTTTAACGTCTTGATATGTCATTGTGCTTCAACATCTTCCATTTGTAAAAGTGAATGCTTACGAAAAGTTAACATAAATTGACATGAAAATATCAAGATTTATATTGTGTTGTCTTCCATTGTCAATAAAACTGGAGCCCAAATACACAAAAGCAGTGTCACTTCAGGATAGTGTTTTACTTCTTAATTTACTGTGTAGGCTACATAGTATATCTATGATCACTTAGTATTTAGAAGATGGTATGGTTTTATGGTGACTAAGTTATCTGTATGTCTAGAAATTCAGTGGCAGGCTCCCAGCTCCCCTTGAAATTTGTCAGCTGAGGCAGCTGAGTGAATTGTTGGATGAAAAATACAACCAAATACAATAGTTTAATTTATAGAACTATGGTAAGGAATTCGTGTAATCAATGACAGTTCATAAAATACACTGAAAATGACTGACTTACTGTGAATTCATAGATTTGGGATGTAAGGACGAAAGCCAGTGTGCACACACTATCAGGACACACAAATGCCGTAGCAACGGTGAAGTGCCAAGCTGCAGAACCACAAATTATTACAGGTATAGTGGGCATGGTTTCAAAGTAACATGATTGGAAAACCTAATCAGTAATACATTTGTAATTATGTGAGGGTCATAATGTTGTCTTTGTTTATTTACAAAAGTAGTAAGAGAAACTCAGTTTCTCTTACTGTTTTTCTGTTGAAAATGGGCTATGCAATGGCTATTTCATACTATTAATGGTATGTTTAAGCAAATATAGCTATGCATTCTTTGAACGTTTTTCTGCAGTTCCTTTGTTTCTGGTGTTCACGTTTTTTGTTGTAATAAGTATTGAGACTTGCATTTTCTATGATAATTCACAGTTGTCCCCAATTGAATTAAGAAGTGACCAGTACCGTGCTTAAACATAGTTCATCTTCTTTCCCATTATGTCAAAATCTAAGTTTGCTGTGTAACTACTTAGTTCTTCTTGAATTTCAAACTGTAAAAAGACCATTACAATCCAGCATCTTTCTTGTCTGAGGTGGTATTAGTATCATATTTTCATAACAAACATAATATTTTTGTCTTTTTCACATAAGAAAATGTAGCTGCCGTATCAAATGATAGAATCAATATGATGGTTTTTACTGTTTTTCATTTTCTTTTCATTGTAGGCAGTCATGATACTACCATACGGCTCTGGGATTTAGTGGCAGGAAAAACTCGTGTTACTTTAACAAATCACAAGAAATCTGTAAGAGCAGTAGTGCTACATCCAAGACAGTAAGTTTTCCTCATTTTTTTACACTTTCACAATTCATAACATTGGGTGTTGACAGAAAGCCAGTGTGAGTGATGATTTTGAGTGGTAGGGCATAATAATGTGAAAAACTTAGAATGCTGTAAAAATGTACATACTGGTTCTCAAATACCTTTTACAACATTGATTGTGCTCCCCAGGTATTGGCATTGGTGTACATGAGCAATCCTGAAAACTTTTTATCCCACAGGATTTCTTACATACGTGCCTTTGCAGTCCTTGAGAAATCAGTGACACTGGGCTTGTAAGGATAATAATATATAGATAACTGAATGATTGTTAGCAGCAAGTGAGGTAGTTTTGTAAAATGGCACATGTGAATAATGCTAAAGGAAACTGATTAATAAAAAAGGATTCTTTTGAATATGTGGTTCACTGCACAAGACATTTCAATCTAATGGGCCTTAAAAAGAACTTCTTGTGAGTATTTAATCTTTAAAGCAAGTGATGTTGGAAGTGCTCAGAATTTAGATGCTTTATTTTGATGCATCAACAGTTGCCTGTTTAGATAAATCCCCATTAAAACAACGGAGAAAAGGAAATCACATAGAACTATAGTACTTCTGCACCTTCAATATTTTAAAATTAAATTGTCAGTGCAGAAAATTCAGAATCTGATATGAATAAATTCTGATCCAATCTGTGTGCCTGAAAAATTGTAAAAATCTTATGATATGCCTGTTACCTAAAGCAAAGAAAACCCCTAGTTTTACTTGTATTTCACAAAAAAAAAAAAAAAAAATCTGGTTTCAGGTGCATCAGTCATAGTTCTTGAAAATGAAGTGTTTTTATCAAGCAGTAGCTGCTGTCAGCCTAATATTCTGTAGTTTTGGAAGACTAGCCAATACAGGGTTTTTTTGTTTGGGTTTTGCTGGTTGGTTTGGTTTTTTTCTGATACCCTTTCTGATGATGCCCTTATACCTGAAAATTTGCCAGAATAACAACTGACAAGAAATTTATGTGCATTTTTAATATTTGTTTGCATATTAACATCCTATATGGCATATGTTTTATGAAGTTTAGGTAGTCTGTGCAATAGAAATGAAACAGTAGAAATGGGTAATTCATGACTTCGTAAAATTGCTTCATTTTATGTGAAGTAAAAATGACAGAAAAGTAATTTTAGTATTAAGTGACTTTGCAACTAACATTTAACAGTAGTTCCAATGAAGCACATTTACTATCCCTACAGCTCTTTTGAACTTTAATATACTGTGCTTACTTTCTTCCAGTTACACATTTGCATCTGGTTCTCCAGATAATATCAAGCAGTGGAAATTCCCAGATGGAAACTTTATTCAGAACCTCTCTGGTCACAATGCTATTATCAACACACTGGCTGTAAATTCTGATGGTGTTCTGGTCTCAGGAGGTAAAAATGAGAAATATATGTTTATATTTCCTCTTTCTGCTCCCCCATGTATATATGGCTGGAGGTCCTTAGGCAGAGATTCTTGCTGGGCTCTCCTTTATTTGGGCCTACTACAGCATACAACTTCATTTTATAGTGAGTAGGGCCACTTTTATCTTGAATGTTACTGGGCTGCATGCACAAAAAAAAATTTGAAGGGACTTTTAATGTTCTTCAGGGAAGAGGTTTCCTTTTCCCAGCTGGCTGCTGCTTCAAGGCTCCAGAGTCCATCCTCTATGATCTCCTGATCATTAGTGTCCCCTGAGGAGTGGTGTGGAAACTGGAAGCTGCCTGGGAGACATCTGGTTGTTATTGGCTGCTCTCTTAGTAACATGGTGATGCAGTGAGAATGGATAGAGGATATAGAAAGTTCTTGGTAAAACTTGCTGTACCGTTTAAATGTTAACTCTTCCCTGTTTTTTTTATGAAGCACAACTGCATTGATTCTATTGTCTCAAAGTTTTCTTACACGCATTTTCTTATGTTATCTTTGTGTTGTTTAAAAGACTGATAGTTAATCTCCAAATTTTATTTGGCTCTGTGAATCAAAACGATGTTTACTCAACAATATTATAAGTTCGGGTGTTCTGAAACTAAAAAATTAGCCACTTGGCTCCAGTGCCTGTGGGAGAATTTTGTATCTATTGTGACACATCAATTTAATTCTTAAATTCAAAAGCTTCAAGAATCTAATAATAATCTGATAAATTATTGTCAGTGGTCTGTGAGCCCCCAAAGTCTTGAAACTTAGTTTCTATTCATGTATCTGTCTTGTGGGGGTAGGAGGAAAATCCTGAATGCTTACTGTACTGAACGTGAATAATTTTATGTAAGAACATTTATATCCTACTGCAGGTAGTATTTTTCTATGTATTAGTTACCCAAGCACTGTAATAAAAATATTTTGTTGGAAGTATGTGTTACTAAAACCTTAATCTGTGATTTTTGAGATACATGTTTGTACAAGGCAGAGTACATATATAGACCTTCTTAGTGACAAGCTTTTTTTTGAAAGTAAGCTTCTAGAAATCAAACTGGATTAATATATTTTCATAAAGGCAATGTGTCTACATAGTAGGGAGATGGTGTGTTTTTAATGTAGATGCTGCTATAAACAGGAAGTGAGTAAACAGTGTGGAGAAAGGAAGTGCTAATTTTACAGCTTGAGAGCTGGGCTCTAGAGAAACAGTCCAATACTGCATGGGAAAACAGTGAAAGCAGGAGGTTAAACCCAAATCTCTGAGGTCCTAGACGAGTTGCTTAATCATGAGATTGTCTTGAGAGAGCTCTAGCAATCAGAGGAAGGTGAGTTAAGAGGCTAGACTGTATTGCTCCATGTAACTTGCAGAGCCTGAGTTTTCATCTCTTGGTTTTGCTTGTTTTAACCTTTTGGGTAGTTATAAACAGGGATGGGACTTAATTCACAGCACTACATGTGAGAGAACAGTTTAAGACAGGTTCCATGAGTTTGCAGAAGCAGATACTTATGAAAAACATTACTGTGTTTGTAACCAGAGCATAACAAAAAAAGGTAACAATTACACACTTTGGAACACTGAAATGCATTTGATCCCATTTTATTGTGTTTGATACAGTATCTTCTGTAGGCTAGGGATGTGGAGTAAGATGGAAATGTGTTGGAAGGTAGTGAATTATATTGTCAGCTTACCCTGGTTATGTTTTCAGGACTCTATAAAGGGGGCCCTTGATTTTTAGATTTGTATAAAGCTCTATTTGACAGCTGGCACATTCATAGTGAGAGCAAGAACTTGGCAAGATACTGGACTGGGCTCATAATTTATTCTTTATTATTTTGAAGGAACTCCTAGAAGGTCTTTGCAGGACTTTTTTTGTGCTATTACTAGTTGAGGCTTTAGAAAAACTCCTTCCTTCTTTACATTAAAACCTGTATCATTTTAGTAATATAATTTGTGATTTTTTAAAAAAATTAAAATTTGAATATCGATTTCCCCCCTTTTATATCCTCATGCTATCTACAGCTACTTTAAAGGAGCTGATGCTGAATTAAAATAAATTGAGATTACCTTAGAGTATTTTACTGTAGAAACACCCTTCTTGAAACTTCTGGATTTCGTGTGTAGCTGGCAGATGTGGAGAAATTTTTTATAGATCTATTTTGGCTAGATAATGCTTTGGGAGGGGATGGTTGTTTGTAACTGAAAAATTGCTTTGAAAGCAAACTTCTGAATACAGAGTTCAGATTGCTGTGAATATGCTGTAGCTGATGCCAGTAGCAGTAATACTGGCAGTGATTTAAACTGCATTGAAATAGAACCTCTGCAAACATCAAGCCTGTTTCCCATTAGAGACTCCTTAATGTCTAGAATCTGTTTGACAGGATGCCGCCTCTTTGTTCAACTTGAGTGGAGCCACTGAACAGGGAGCTTGATATTTAGAATGCCAGTCCTTACTGTGCTTCCAAAGCAGCTTGCTGCAGTTGCCTTGTGATGTAGTGTATCATCTCTCAGGGTTATCTGATGCAAACTGGATGAGATGCTGAGGAAGCTTCCATCAGCCTTCTTAAACAAGATCAGCCTTTCTTACGTAAGAAGGAACCCAGTAGAAAATTGGTAACCTTGTAGGGTGTACTGAGCTATTCTATGTGTATGTTATAGCTGATGTATTCCTGAGGTATTAGTTGTTCATGATACTGTTTTTAGGAAACAGGTAGTTAGTATTTTAACCTATTAATTTCTATGTTTGTTTGCTTGTTGCAGCTGATAATGGTACAATGCATCTTTGGGACTGGAGAACTGGATACAATTTCCAGAGAGTACATGCAGCTGTACAGCCAGGCTCTTTGGATAGCGAATCGGGAATATTTGCTTGTGTTTTTGACCAGTCAGAAAGCAGATTGCTAACTGCTGAAGCTGATAAAACCATAAAAGTATACAAAGAAGACGATACTGCGGTATGTCAAAGTGTCTTTTTAATGTATTTTCAGGAAATCAAAAATTTTCAAACAAATGTTACACATATCAACTTGTGTAATCTATTTTATTGATGTTTGAAGGCAACGTGTATTTAATAATGTTAAGAGGCCAGTAGCTACTTTCTGCACTCCTAAACCCTTATTAATATGGTATAGTACAAATAAGTGTCAGGTCTGTCAATTCTTCTGCAAAAGTCCTTTGTCATAAAACTTGGGGAAATCTTAATACAACAATGTACATTGTGTTTTGAAGCCAGTAGGGGACTGTGGTTAGCTCTATTGATTAAAACATAGGAATTAGCAAAAAGATCACATTTAAAGATTTAGTGTACTTCTGTATCTAGTCATTTGCGGTAACAATTTTTAGAATTCAAAGCAAATAGCTTGTTTTCAAACATTCTCAGATTCGAATCCACTTACTAATGGAGAAAACAGATTATTCTATAGTTTATCAAAGTGTGTCTTCAATATAAAGAATATAAGGCTTATTATTAAATCTTGGAATTTTTGCATTGAATGAGACTTGGAGCAACTCTTAGATACGTAGGAGTAAGGAATTTTATCCATTTTGCAACTGGGCAAATTGTAGACTCTGGCATTTGCCAATACTGATGTAGATACTGTTGTAAGGACTGTCTCTGGAATTCCTGTTCCTATGCTTTGATCACTCCAGTGCTGTTTCTGAAATGCTATTGGCAACCTGATTTTTGTCCTTGTTGCAAAAAAAGCTCCAGAACAGAACAAGTCTTGTCATGTACTTCAGACAGTGGGATGATATAAAATTTACTTTGGATAAATTAATTGCATAGTAGATTAGGTAATTATAATGTTACATATGAAAGGGAGTATATGTGCTATGTGACTAATATTTTAAACTGAACACTAATTACAGGTGAATTTCAAGTTAAAAATAATCTTTATGAGATTTTTCTTTTTTCCCTTCAGACTGAAGAAACTCACCCTGTCAGCTGGAAACCAGAAATTATCAAGAGAAAGCGGTTTTAGTGCAGCAACATACTTATGCTGTAATTTTGTTTTGACTTCCCTGAGAGCATTCAGTGACATTTTGTTCTGTCTACAACAGCAGAGCAGGAAGTCAGCTAAGTCATTGCTATTTCAACATGTTTTATAATAAATTTTATTTCTCTTTCCTTTTGTCTTTCTTTGGTGTGATCCCAGCAAACCAGTTGCAGCTGTTAACTTTCTCTTTGTGGAGTATGTATAGTTCCTGAAAAGGATAGATGTGCCGGTGGTTACTTTTTTATATGAATCTGTTGAGTGTAAGTCTAAAAATACTTTGAGCCAGGTTTTCTGAAAGACCCTTGCTTGACTCCAAAAGTTAATTGCAAATTTATGCATCGAAGCCATCTACTGGAAATTTCTTGAGTGACACTTTCAGATTTTAGACCAGTATTGTGTACTGTACATATGCTAAGTATATACTGTAATGGAACAGTATGTATACTAAATTGTAGAGTAATAGAGTAATCAAGAAAGAAGCAGGATGATACAATAATAATGTAGTTTGCTTTATAAACACAGTTACTGAGCATTGCCAGTGCTGTGTTATTGAATGAAATGGATCTTCAGTGTGTTTCTTTCCCTAGGAGAGCTTTCACATGCAACTAGACATCTTCCCTCATAGCATTTCAGAGTGGTGGACCTTCTGCAGCAAGGACCACTATCAAATCATATTGTTCACACTTACTACAGGATTAGGACCAGTTGACTTCCTTTGTAAATCACTTGGGTTGTTTTTTCCATTCATCCAAAGCATATATGACATTAGAGCTCAGTGAACTTTAAAAAAGCTGTAAGAAGAAAAGCTCTCAAGTCATTTCAGCCTTAATTTTTGATGCTGCTGTCTCCCCATGATCTTATGAAAGAATTTAAAACAAATTTTTAAAAATTTCTGAAAGAGAATTTGTTTTGTGGCCATAGCAGTGATAGTAAGCAGCTCACAAGAATTATTTCTCTACTCTGCCAGTCTGACTTATTTCAAATCTGGGATTCATGTTAGAAAAATGGCAGTTATTTGCAATGTAACTTACGAAAAGCTAGTAAAACTAAGTGTTGTTTGTATTAGAATTTTTGTCTTGTCTTTTGTGATGCACAGGAGGTCTTGTATTTATAATTTGAATGTTTGACAGTGTTGTTTTAAGGGAGTCCATGCTGCATAAATAACTGAATTTTCATTGACACCTATTGTCTGAAGCATCTTCACAAAAAAGGGAGGGGAGTATTTGGTATTTACAAGTTGTATCAAACATCTTTTATTTGGATGATAATTTGAATTTTTCTAGATCTTTATTACAGATGTTTTCATTTTAGCTAACATAATAGGGGAAGGTACAGGTTGTGGCTTTATGCATATTTCATATTGCTGCCAGTGCTTCATTCCAGAACTCAATGAAGTATTGCTGTTACACAGAATTTTCTTGCTCAGAGTAAAATCTTCTGTAGGAAGCCAGAGTGCAGAGGAATAACCTGCTTAAGAAGGAATGGGATTGTTGTGGATTGTTTGGTTTGGGGTTTTCTTTGATATTTCTTTTCATAATTTGGAATCAGGAAGGGAAGGTTAGAGGCTTTGACTCGCAGTTCTAACACATCTTCCCTGTACCAGCACTTTTCTTTAAAAAACTTCATTTATTCCACTGTTTATCACTTTGAAGAGAGATCAGAAAGTCTCCTGCGGAAGCTGTGTTTCTTCCCTGGACTTCTGCAAGAATCTGTTGGCATGGGGCAGTAGTTGCCAGAGCATTCTTTTTGTGCCCTGAGTAAAGATTAGGTTTGTAAATTAAAGGCTATGCACATTATTTGGAATAATACTTTTCCTTTTTGGCTCTATTATATGCTGTCCAAGTTCTCAGTGTGATTTTTTTTTTATTTTTTTTTTAAAGTGTTATTTAACATTTAATTTGCATGTTTATTTCCTTCCTACTAGTTTTATCTTCACTTGACAGTAACGTGAATATCATTACATGCACTTCCATAAGTATTTGACACATCAAGATTATCAGATTTCATTTAAGCGCTTCTTTATTTCAAAGTAAGCCTAGATACTGAGTTGTTATACACATGTATCTGACTGTGTAGGATACACAGTGACGTTAGATTTGTCCATGTAAGTCAGAAGGTGAAGCAAAAGAGGGGGATCTTGTGCATTGGATGTGTTTTCCATGCTTCTGGAAAGTGTCACTGCAATGTCAGTTAAAGTAATCTTTAATGGAAGTCTTCTCTCAGAAAGTAATTCTTGTCATTTATTTCATAAAATTTGATGTTGTCTTCTGTATATGATCAAATCATACATGTTTCTGCCGCAGACCTTGGGTTTTGTTTTATACTGTACATAATTGCAGAGAAGTAATAAAATGTTTTTTGTTTGTAACATAATTCAAAAAAGTGTAACGGGTAAAAGTGATAAAATTTAAGATCACTCTTTGCTGTGTACTAAAGCATTCAATGTAAGCTATGCAGCTAGAACGCTGTCATTTGCTGGCAGCATGAAAGTTGTGCAGAACAGTATGTCTTTGGCAACTTAAAGGCTTACAGAAGTAAATCTTTAATAGCCACTTCCTTTTTAGTCCTGTTAGATAAGAATTAAAGCGCTATGCCTGATTTAAGTGACAGCAATTTCGCCATCAATAAAACCTTCAATACAATATGATTTCATGTCTTGTTTTCAATTTTGGGTTTTGTAGTAAGAAGAAAAAATAACTAAATATGTATTGAAAGTTAAAGTAATTTAGGATTAAAATTTATGACTATTTGCCATAGTGCAGTAACAAATATTGCAGACCACCTGTAATGGAGAGAAAGTATTGATGGCTATTTTATGAAGAGCTTCCTATCTGTGTCAAGGGATTAGCAAAACAAATGCAGAATTGTTCATAAATTTTCTTTAATGTGTTTAAAAAAAGACACGGAAACCTCTCTGCAGTTAAGTATGAGGTCTAGGACAGGTTCTGGATGGGGGCTGTGTGGGTGGAAAAAAGCTTAAACTAATTTTGGTATGTCTTACTGGGCGTAAATTAAAGGGATATTTCTGTCCAGGGCACATAACAGAAAATTTGGTCACAATGAAATCAATGGGAGTTTTGTAATTTATTTTTTGAAATCAAGATTTCACTCAGTGGGGTGTTTTGTTGTTTTTTTTTCCTCAAGTGAGTTAGAAAAACTATCAGTCTGGCAGGTCAGGTATGCAAGTATCCATAAAGGTGCATTTTTTTTGTGCACAAGATACATCCTGCATTGTTCAGGTGAGGCTTCTAAATTTTTATTAGTACACCTTAGAAAATGGTGAGGATTTGGAAATTAATGAATGCCAGTAAGCCTGATCAGCTGAAGAAGGTCAACCTACAATTTTGTTCTATAAAATTGAATGTTAGATTTGTTAAGGACTTGAAACTAGCATAGATATTAGTTTCTATGGAAGCTATTCCATAAGCAGAATATGTAGTTGGGGAATTGCTTCACTGAAAGCAAACAAATCTTCAGCTGAAATGAGGCTGAAGGCTGCATGAAGAGAGAGAAGCTTTCCAGTTGTTTTTTGTCTAGTTCAAAAACTTGGCAGACAGGGAACCACAGATTTCACTGGTGGTCACTTAGGTAGAGCTTGTCACTTGGGGAGACTCCATCTGATGCTTCTTTAATGGCAGCAGCTAAGAATCAGTTTTCTGGATTTTACATCTTGAAGTCTTACAAACTTAGTTCTGTGCTTAGTAGGTCAGAAGTTGGCTGAAAATTGGAAAAAAGTTGAATGAAACAGGAATGGCCACCCCTGTCTAAAGATGATTCTTCCAGCAACTTTGCACAGATGGGAATCTATTTCTTGGTTTGATTTTTCAGTAAGCTTCTGTAAGCAAACATTGCAGGGCTAGCAATATGCCATTGCTTCTGTGAATGCTTTTTCACATGCGTTTTTCCTCTGCTTCCTTATCTTAAAGTCTATCAGTAGTCATTTAGTATTGTAACTTCACCTAGGATGTGACAGTAACTTGAAAACTATCAGCATAAACATTCACAGATTTTGGTGTTGGAAAATAATTTAGAGGTTTTTCACAAAATGACCAAATCTAACAAGAGAATTTTCTCTTTAATGTGTATTCTACCAATTGCTGTAAAGCAGCAGTTAGAAATTTTTAAAGATGTATAAAAAACTATTAATTTTGCTCTAGATAGAAACTCTGAAGTTTTAGATATGAAGTCGGTTTTTTCAAAATGTTCTTTTGAAAAAATTTTTAAAGGTTTTGATCTGAGGGCTTTACAGGATCAACCCTTACATGTTAATGTTTTCCCATTGCTGTGGCTTTGTAATGTTCAGTTGTGAACCTTTAAGTCGGTAACATGTTAACTTCAGGTTAACACCTGAAGTTAATCACCAGGGGCGTTTGCTAACCTTTCTTTAGGGTTTTTGTTTTGAATAGAAAGTACATAAGCCCAAATGTGTATTTGGGCACTTGCCTGCAAATTAGACCTCAGCAATAAAAACAATAATTGATCTAAATGCTTGTCTCCAGGTAAGGAAGACTGAAATAACTGACAAGAAAACTACAGTTTGCATAGACTTGGGGAAACTGTATTGTGCTGTTTTGTTGGGTTTTTTTTCTTTCCTCAAAAAATCCCCACACCTTACGTTGTGTTTGAGAAGTGCAGGTAGTATGTGTGTGAAAAACTTGTTTCTGCCAACATTCTTTGCAACATTTCTATGTTATTTTTAGGGAGACCGTGTGTTCTTGCAAAACATGTCACCTTTACTCTTCCTGCTGCAGTAACAGCTTGTAGGCTTTTGGATGCTGCAAATGTCTTTTTTTTTTTTTTTTTTTTTTTTCCCCAGCTGAGGAGGGCTCAAGGCTTTAGTCCTCCCGGAGCAAGGGAGAGTCAGTGCATCATCAATATGAATTATGAATACCAAGGGCTACACCTAGAGAAGAGAGAGACTTCCTAGAGACCATATAAGAGCGAGCTGTAATTAACAGAAATCTCTCAGGGAGGTGAAAAGGACAGTAGAAAAAATAAGACTAGAAGAAACCAGAGCTATGACAGCTGAAAGGAAATAGTTCAAAACATGCTACATTTACCTGGCAGGCTGAAGGAGAGGAGATACTTGTGGATTAGATGAATTCTGCATGGGTCTAAAAGGGAAGAATGGAAGAGAATAGAGTTCTGGTGTGGGTACAGTCAATGGTGAAAATGAAAACACAGGCATCCTGATGCAGATTCTTTTGACAGCAACCTATAAATGCATTTCTGAGAAGTGCTGCTATTGTGTGTATCTGCATGTTCTGGTAGCCTCATGCTCTGAAGTATAACTCAATACTTTAGAAAATTCTTTGGCACGTGAAGAATTGCAGAGGAATGCAGAGTGAGGAGTCTGGAGGGTTTTGCTGCTGCAGTGGGATTTTTATGGAGGAAGCAGTTGCAAGTACAGTTCTAAACGAGGCTTAAGAGTAAAGCATGAAGAGTGAAGCCAAAGTTTGCATTGTGAATAACTTAAAAAGGCCGATTTTACAGTTGATTGAATGCAAGCATTAATTTACAACATTGAGTTTGCTTCTTTCTGACAGGCCAGTGGTGAGCTGTAGAATGAGACGTGAGTTTATAGCCACAGGGTATCATGCTG